AAGGCCATGGGGCCCTGGGGTCGGCATTGGTAGCTACAGGGATGGCTTTTGCTGAGCCCAGTGGCCTGATACATTTCTGGAGCAAAGGAGGGGGCATAGTGATGGCCCCTGGAGGGGACCCCAGCCAGGGACGACATCCTCAGGCAGGTGCTCAAAGGTCCATGTTCAGGGGTGTGTGTTTACAGGTGCTTACCCACAAGGGTGTGCTCACAGGTGCGTGTGCCCAGGTGTAGGAGGAGAGGGGTCTGGGACCAGTGCTTGGGCTCACAAGTCATTGATAAAGGACAATGGGAACAAGAACACAGTCTGCAGCCAGAGTGAGGTGCGGGGACCAGATGTGGACTGGCATGGAGCCAGCAGCAGGGCAAGGCCACCTCAGCCAGGTGAAGAAACCTCAGCAACTGTGTCCGTTAGAGCGGTGCTGAGGCTGGGGTCGCTCAGTTTCCATGCAAAGGGCAGACGTGTGGTTGGCTCAGATGCACAGGGGACAGGGACATTGCTGGGGAGCTGCTGCAGGAGCAACTTTGTTCTTGCGCTGGGGTCCCAGGCCCCCTTCCACTGACAGTCCATCCAGGCCCTCTCGGTGGCTTCTCAGACTTGACTTCCTGTTACCACCTCTGTTCCCCACGCCACCAACCACCCAGGCGTCAGGCTGAGTCCATCATGTCCTCAGCCTGACCTGAGCCTGCTTCCTCTCCCCACTGTCCCTTACCCTTCAGGGTTCATTCCCTAGCCAGTGACCGAGGTGATGCCGGGTGGCAGACAGGCCTTGACGGCAAAGCCACATGGAGAAGAGGGTTCCTGTGGGTGATGAGCCTGGCACCTCCCACGATGTCGGGAAGGAAGTGGTTCCAGCCGGCCCCCGGGACAGCCACAGGGTCCCAGCGGGAGAAGCAGCCACCGTCATAAATACAAATGTTCTGGTCCACACTGCATACTCAGGTAACTGAATGCATAATGAAACAGAGGGAAGGGGCTCTTCCGGGAGAAGGATTCTAATTACTAAGTGGAGGAGGGAGGGAGATGAAATATCGCCGCTAGCAGGCCGCAGTAATTATTGCTGCCAGCAACGTCGGCGATGGGACCTCAAGTTGATAAAAGAGGCTGAGGACTAGCAAGGTACCTGCAGAGTCGCACAGAGTTGCCTCCAGGAATGTATTAATTTCAAAGCGAAAAACAGCAGCTTCCTGGGAGAGAAGGGACGCAGATGCCAGCTTGTTCAACCATCGAGGCCAGCGTCACCTCAGACCTCAGCATCCCCACCCAGGTCCCCAAGGGGCTTGTGATGGAGTGGTCACTTCTCTCACTTCCTTTCCAAAGTACATCCTTTCCTCTGTGCTTGAAAAGCCAGCAATCAGCCCCAGCACAGGGACAGTCCGTGACATAACGGTCCCACACTGTCCCAGAGGACGGAGCCAGGGATGGATGAGAGGCCACAGAGCAGAGGTGCGGGGAACACTGTGACAAAATTCAGGGTGGCATCTGGATGCGTCTGGAGAGTGGGCCTGAAATGTAACGGAACTGAAATACAGGGCAATCCTGGCGATGCCTCACTGGGCACCTTGCTCCAGTGATGTTGGAGTAGGTAGGCGGAAGGTACACAGGAGACGTTAAAAAGACGACCCCCCCAGACAGGGTAGTACCTGCCACCCCGCATTCTGAGGCTAAGGGTTGCAAATTCAAGCACAGCCCAGGGAACTTAGCAATTTAGCAAGGCCCTATCTCAAAATAAAAAGTTAAGGGCTGGGTACACAGCTCAGGGCAATGAACCTGAGTTTGGTCCCCAGTACCCCACATGCTGAAAGACCTTCCTGGACACGTTTCCATTTCCTCCTCATGCTTCCCCAAACCTTGCATCACCAGGAGGGCAGCCTTGGTGCCCTTTCCTGCTGCAAGCAGCACCCATAGATATCCCCACGGGGAGACAGAAGCAACAGGAACCCTCTGCACTTTTCCAAGTAGCCCACAGGGAACCCCTCAACAGCCCCCAATAGCTGAATCTCAGGGCTTGCAGTCACTTGGGGCAGAAGCAGGGGGTGACCTGGACCACATCCAGCTGGCCCTGTGGGGGCAGCAAGAGCATCCAGGGAAGCCAGCAGACCTTGCTCAGGGAAAGGATTTGAAGAGCGAAGACCCAGCTTGAAGCCAGCACACTTAATTGATGCTCGTGAATGATGCAGACTGGCCAGTGTCCCTCAGCCGCCAGGGTGTCCTTTGAAGACAGGAAGGTCTCTGGAGCCTAGGATGGCAATCTGGAGCAGCTTCTGTCTGTATGAGATCCGAGGGAGACAGAGCACCTGGTCATCATGCTGGGGTTGCCCAGATTAGTGTCAGGTGCTTCCTGTCCCTGATGCCAGGATACCTGTAGAAGCTACCCCTCTGGGTGTCTGCTCAGCACCTTGTGCTCAGCACCAGTGCCTGGCTCTGTGCATGATGCCCCTGTAAAGGCCATGTCTGTGGTGGGCAGGTCAATGTCAGGCAGCGCCACAACACCAGGCCAACTCATAGCCCCTGGCAAGTCCCCTGGTGGATGGTGTGGTAACCAACATGGAAGGCTTAGGAACAAAAACAATCACCTACCCAAGCGATTCTACAATCCACACTCTCTCCTGATACCCAGATTCCTACCCTGAAATTCCCAGGGAATTCGGTCAAGAGAAAAGGTCAACAGAGAAATCTGAAAACCACCACAGGCTCAACTTGTGTTCGGACCAGAAGGGCCCTCTCAGCCTCCCAGGGACAGAGAGATCCCCCCAAACTGTGAGCCTGCGGCCCCACATCCCAATCCTTCAAATACTAAACCCCCTTAATAAGCAATTGCAGCCCGAGTCATTTGAATCCAATCAAGGCCCCAGCAGGAGGGATTCGAGCTCACTGCCTGGCTTCCCACTGTGAAGCAGATTAATAAACTGTTATGATAAGCAGGCTGATTATTAGCACGAGAGCAAGGCTCTGGAGCTAATTGAAGCCATCCAGCAAAATGTCAGCGCCTTCTTTGGGTATGAAATATTAATTGCACCCAAGCCAGGACTAGGAGGTGGAGGTGGATTGGTATCTTTTCTTCTACGACAAAAGTCAATGGAACCCCGCTCTGGAGCCGAGGCCAGACCACTGCTCAGAAGAAGTGGGAGAATTTCCTGTGACGGGGTGGGGAGGGCTTGACTGAGGTAGGATGGGGTCTGGGACCACCTTTCTGTTTGGATTTCAGCTTTGTTCTTCTGGAGACTTTGAGCCTAGCTGGAGGTGCACTGGTCCAGGCCCTCCAAACCCCCAAAGCATCCCCAGACCACCCAACCCTCCTCTCCGTCTCTTGGCCATAGCTGAACAATCCCTCCTCCAGCCCAGGCCCAGTGGATGAGCTCTCATGGGCTGGCTGCTCTGCTGGTGGATGTCTCCACCAAACCAGAAGCTCTCGGAAGGCCAGGAGTGTGTCTTCCTTGGGAGAGAGAGGCCATAAGAGGAGGCCTCCAGGTGAGACCAGCCTTCTGGGGTAGACATGCACCCAGCCTTGCTTCCTGACTAGAATAGGGTTACTCCTCTAGGTGGGGGATGCATGGAAACTTCCACCTCAGAGCTGGTGGCCAGAGCTGCGGTATTCATTCTCAGTGCTAATTCTCAGCAGAACCCACATGGAGCGCCCAGATGCAGGAGCCGCCACTCCACCTGCGGACCGAACGAAGCTGGATGCTGGGCCAGGGAAGGCGGAGCAGGTTCCTGTGCTAGAGGAAGGCTGGCTGAGGGCCTTGAGGACACCAGAGAGGACAGGGGGAATGTGGGAGCCCAGGCCCCTGGGACCAGCAGTGGGTCACTTCGGGGCTAGGGAAAGCAGCCCAGTTCTCCCGAGCCTGCTGGACACAGGACACCCCCAAAGGGAAGGTGCAGGTTCTGAGTCCACCCCTGTGTGACGAACGAGAGTGGCCTCTTCTCATATTGTCATAGCAACCGCACTCGTAAGAAGTCCCCACCCTCTATTGTGCAGTAGGTTTTGTGGGACTGATGTCAATGTCTCCATCTCCACTGCCACAACACCCAAAGCTGTAGGAGGTTCTGATTGCAGCGAGTTAAAATTCCTCTGGTCCGATGACATTTTCCAAGATTGCTGAGACAGCCTGGAGAGAATTTGTGTCCTCTTCAAGGCTCTGTCTGCCCCTAGCTGTGATGCCATCCACGTCTTCTCCCATCTGTTCCCAACGCAGATGGCCCCATCAGATATGGATTGCATCCCCACTTCACCAAGGCCCGTCCACCCTAAGTGAGAGGCCAAGGCACCACTCTCACCTCCGTGTGGAAGTGGAGCAGAGCCTGGGGTTCAGAGGAGCCCTTTGACCACACCTGCTGGCTGCCATCCAGCAGCCCCCCAGTGCTGGGGCGCACCCACGCTGCCTCATGAGGACACTGGAAGCAGGGAGCAGACACATTGGCCCAGTGCTTCGGTCCCTGACATGAGACATCCCAATCAGCACTGCCACGGGACAGAGCCCTTAAACGGCTGGACTGAGAGGGAGATGGGCATCAGAGCTGCAAGCTGCGAGGCTGGGCTTCCTCTGGGAAGATGAGAATGTCCCAGAGGAGACCACCCAGCTCTGTGAATGCACTGTCTCAGAACTGCACGCTTTACATGGCCAAATGGCATAGTCTGTGGGTCACAGTGCAGTAAAGCTTTTGTGGAAAAATCACCACGCAACAATAAAATGTTTACTCTGAAAAGCACACACACACACACACACACACACACACACACACACACACACACATTCCCTCACACCTTCCGACCACCTCTAGGAATTTAGCCTAAGGAGATAATGAAACATGTACGTGTAGCTACAGGGAGTGACCTTCCACTCTCCTTTCTGCAGCTCTCGGGACCGCCTGGCCTCTCAGGATCCGTGTCTTTTGCATAATAAAATGACACTGGTTAGTTTTGGGAGATGGTGGGAGGCATAAGAAGAGCATGCAGGTTCTTTTTTGAGCAGACTCCCAGCGAGTGGGCAGCCCTGGTCAGGACGGTGGACACCATGCATTGGACACTCAAGGCTGTGGGAGGGTCAGGGCTTGTGCCCAGGGCTCCTCCCTGTGCCAACTGTCAGCCATGAATCCCACCTCCCGGAAGCCCAGCTGTGGGCATAGGAGGTCAGCTGGTCGCTCAGCCTCCAGGGACATGGCCGGAGGTCGCTGCTGCGCCTGCTCTCTTGGCCTGCGCATTATTTCCTGCTAATCAGCGTCACTTGGCCCCGAGGGATGCTGGCCCCATGTGCCACCAGCTGCTCCAAGAGCTGCTCCCCTGTTCCGGGCACGCTTGGCTGGCTTTGGTGAGGCCCAGCATAAGCGGAGCTGACAGCCCCATCTGTCTCCTCCTGAGCAGCAAGCAGTGCTCCCGGCAGGCACGGGTCCGGCGAACCTGTGGGCTGGCCAGGGCAGGTGGGCAGCAGTCGGCTCAGCCACGCACCAGGCCAGCCTTCTGCCTGCGAATCAGAACCTGGGCTGGATGCTCCACTCTGACAGGCACCGAGGAGACAGCAAGGGGCGCTGCAGGGGAAGCTGCTGCCGCTGGGATGGGCCGGGCTGTCTCTCAGGAACTGCTACAGTATCCTGTATCCCTTACTGGTACAGATGAGGCTGCCGAGGCTGGGCTGGGGGTGCCTGGGCCCAGTGAGTCACCCACTGCTCAGGAAGCTGTGCTCTTGAATCTGCTGGGAAGAGACCCGGACGCAGGAGACACACTCAACCTCCTACATGAGGGAAGCTGGGGCCACTCCTGCCCACCTGGAGGCAGAGGCCAGAGGATCCTGGAAGGTCTCCAGCATGGGCAGGCGAAAGAGGTGGGGCAGGGCTGGGTCTGGCCAGGACGAGGACAGTAGGGTGCACAAAAGGGTCCCTGCTCGGCCCCAGGAAACAGACTCTGGGAGGGACAGGGTCTGGGAGTGGAAGGGTGCTGGAGGACTTTCGGGAGAACCTCAGAGAGCAGCATGGTGGTGCAGTGTGATCACGGCAGCCTCGGCCAACAGGCCATGCAGGAGGCCAGGGCACCTAGGGATCTGGAACAAAACAGCAGGAGGCCCGAGGGACCTCTGGTTTCCCGCCCTCCCGTCCACCAGGGCTGGGCTCTGCAGAGAACCCGAGGGGCAGCCAGGACTGAGACACATTGAGGGCCACCTGCAGGAGCCAGGGTGGCTGCGCCCACGCCTTCTGGCCTCTTGCCAGCCTCCTCCTGCTCACGGCCTGGACCTGGAGCTTTTTAAAGTTGTGCTTCTTCCCTTCTGGGAGGTACTGAAGCTCCTGGTGGGGAACCGCCCAGCTAAGCAGTCGGTGTCCTCAAATTCCCAGCTGAGAGCCGCCGCTGGAGCTTGGAAAGGGCTGCTTCCTTGACCCGGGCCCTGTGTGTCAGCTTCCTCAGCAGCATCCTGAGGGTCCATGGGCGGTCAGCTTTCCTGAGACCACTGTGACGCGGCCGCACCCCTTGGGGAGGCCACCATTCGGGGAGCAGAGGACAGCGTGCTGGGCTACAAGGCACTCAGGGGGGCCAAGCCATGCATCAAGCCCAGGTCTTGGCTCCCTGGCCCGGAAGTGGGGCTCCCAGCTGGAGGGGTCCGCTAAGTGGCAAAGCCCTCTAGAGCCTCCAGGAGGCACTCAAGGCCTGGACACGCCCGGCTGCAGTCCCTTCCTGCCTCAATCAGTAAGGATCTTTCTCCTCCTAATTATTTTGTTTCCCCCGAGAAACTGTGGGAGGCCCCAGCTGCTGGTCAGCATGACACTTTAAAGCAATGCTAGTGGAGTTTCCAGACTCTGGGGGCGCCAGGTGTGCTGCTTTCCAGTTGTCTCCTCGATGCCCACAGAGAGGGGCTGGTGGGGAACAGAACTAACGGACCACAGCCAGGTGAGGCTCCAGCCAGATGCAGCTGCCAGGACGGGTACAAGGCCCGTGTTCCCAGAGCAGCCCTTGTGGGGCCTTCACACATCAGAGGAGTGGGGACCAGGCTCGCTCAGCTCTGGGCCCCACACAACTGGCCCTGTTTGGAGGGGGCCAGAGCACGCCTGTGCTGTGAGTACAGGTCTGCGAAGATGACGGAGGCCAGTGTCCTCCCCCTGGGAACGGGACGGAAGCAACTTTGGAGGAGCACGAGGAAAAAGAATTAAGAGAAAGCCAGCTGTAGTGGCCAGGCCTGTAAGCCCAGCACTCCGGGTTGAGGCAGGAGGATCACTGTGAGTTCAAGGCCAGCCTGCAATACATAGCAAGACCCTGTCTAAAAAAAAAGAAAGAAAAAAGAAGCAGAGAGAAGGAGGTACAGAGCCACCTCCCTCTGGTGGTCACAAGGGGCTGGTCACACCCTCATTGTTGGTGAGATCTCAGGTGGATGCACGGCCCCCAGGTGGACGTGGCAGCAGCAGAGGCAGGGGGACACCTCATGTCTGAATCCAAGGGCTGCGGGCTGCTCGCGCTCTGTCTCTCTCTCCCTCTCTCTGTCTCTCTCCCTCTCTCTGTCTCTCTCCCTCTCTCTGTCTCTTCCAGGAGGATGTACTTCCTTAGGGGCCAGGGGATGCTCCTGGCTGTGGCTGCTGCCACCGACACCCAAATGTAATTAAGCAAAGGAGCTTGGTAATGACCTTCTAATCACTGGGCACTCTTGTGGGCAGTGCCCGCTCATTTCTGCTAATTGAAAGAAACTTGTGCCAGGCACAGGGCTTGGGGCAGCCTTTTCTCTCCATTCCCTGCCCGCTCCCTGCCTGCTGCTTGCCCAGCCTGGCTGTGGTGGAAGTGAGATGGCTTCTCCTGAAGGTTCCACCAGGCGACCCTATGTCATTGTTCTCAGGGATGACTCAGGATGCACGTGGTCCTGAGCCTGCCATGGGCTGTGAGCCTCAGTGATTCCATCTGTAAAATGGAGAAACCTGCTTCCTGGTGAGCGAGGAGAAAGGGACCAGTGCCACAGAGAGGGTCAGTAATGTGGTTCCATTCCCCACCCATCGCTGGAGAAGGGAGGAAGGAGCGGAGGGGGAGGAAGTGAGTTGGGGGCAGATGGGGAAGGGAATGGTGTCTGGGACCCTTGCCACTGGGTCAGAGGCATGGGTCACCAACAGCGGCTGGTGCCCAGGCTATAGGAAGGCTGCCACCCTGCCCAGCAGCGTGCACACCCCAAATTCGCAGCTGGGCTAAAAATCACACCAGCTAGAATGATTCACTGCAGCCTATTTTGTCTGTGATTTTTTTTTTTTTTTTTTTGTACTAGGTATTGAACTCAGAACTGCATGCTTGCAAGGCAGGCACTTATGCCCGTCAGCTAAATCCTCAGCCCTGTCTGTGATTTTTTAACTTGAGAAAATAAATTAAAGATAAATGAAAAGGTGTCAGAACCGAAGTCCAAAGGACCTCTGCCTGGCTCGGGGCAGGGTCCCAAATGGCTTCAGGTGCCCAGGCCCCTGGGGACGCTGGCTTCTCCCACCATAGCCAGAAGCCCAGCCTGGGGTGGCCTCCACTCTGGGGCTCAGGAGCCCCAGGCCTGGCTCTGCCAGGAAATAAAGCTGGCTTCTGTCTGCTTTCTGACCAGTTCTAAACTGGAACCCCGAAGACACCTAGACAATGGCCTAGGACCAAGTCCAGCTGACCCTGATGGTGGTTTTTTATCTATAACACCAAACACATGGCCAGGAGTGAGGTGATCAATATGTTGATCTTCATTAAAATTAAAAACTTCTGCCCTGTGAAAAATCACCAAGGTAATGAAAGACAAGCCGCAGACTAGGTAGATATATCTACAAAGCATATAGATGCCTGCTATCTAGAATACACAGTAAGCTGGGGATGTAGCTGGGCTGTGTAAGTGCCTGCCTGGCAAGTGCAAGATCCTGAGTCTTATTCCCAGTACCAATATATATATATATATATATATATATATATATATATATATACCCACAAAGAATTCTTAAAACTCAATAATAAGAAAAATACCAACCCTGTTGAAAATGGACAGAATATCTAAACAGACACCTCACAGGGAGGAATACAGGCAGAAATTTTAAAATTAAATTATCCATGTTTATGTATCAGTGAGTATGTATACGTATTGGTGTGCATGTGTGTGCATCCACGTGTGTGTGTGTGTGTACCCATGTATATGCATGCATCAGTGTGTGTTTGTGTTACTGTGTCAGGTTGCAAACTGATACATGCAAATGCACACATACATATGGGTACACATGGGTATGCACACACACACAGGTACATACAAAAACATGAGTGCACATGTAGACGTGGCTATGCACACTTACACATGGACACATACAAACGCATGGATTCTGTTGTGGTTGGTACACTGTGTTAGCTGGAGAAGCCTGGAAGCTGAACTAAGTGACTGAGTGGCTCTGTATCCTGGGGGGAGAGGATGCGCCCTCACCTCCAGGGTGCTGTTCATTGTGTCAGGAGTTTAACTAAGGGACTCAGCAGGGCCAGGGTCCATCCTTTGTAACATCCTCAGCCTGTCCTAAAGGGGACCTAGAGATGGGTGAGCACCGCAGGCACCTGAGGGGCACAGCCTGTGTACAGTAGAGGGGAGGAGAAGGGGCCTGTTACTCACCTTTTGTTTTTACTGCTTTTACTGTCTTCTGCCGCCTCGAAGTGTTGCCCCTCACCTTCCCCCTGCATTGGAATCAGCCGACTATGGACTGAAACCTCCACAACCGTGAGTGAAGTAAACCTTTCCTTCCTTAATTTTGGGTATCAGGTATTTTGTCTCAGCAATGAGAGAAAAGTAACAAAGACATATACACATATATGCTGCTAACATAATATGCACTGATACACTAATGTACACATACACACTGATGCATGCATACACAGGTGTGTGTACACAGGTGCACACATACACACAGATACACACATGCACACCAATACGCATACATACTCAGATACACACATAAACAGGGATGAGCACATAGATACATACATATACACACACACTGATACAGATGCACACACTGATAAAAATACACATGTACACTCATACACACTTGCATATGGGTATACACATGGATACACATGGACACATGTGCACACGGTGTTATGGATTAAGAACTGGTGGTCAACTTAATGCTAGCTGGATTACAACAGCGTGGAGCTGAGCAAAGATGCTCTACCTAAGGAAAGGTGCCAGCCTAAATAGGTGGAAAAGGAGAAGGAGGTTGTTAATGTGTTGATGCGTTATTGGATTCTGTTGAGGCATTGTGGGTTCTCCTACGAGTTGCTGTTTGAGTCATTGGTTCTCCTGGAGAAGCTCTGGTCCTCACATTGAGCCTTACTTCCTGGCTCTGGAGTGGAAGACCTGTGCTCCTTGGTCTCCAGGTTGAGCTCATCATGCTGGCTTCCTGGCAGGTACTCTACTGTGCTTATCATTGGAGAAGCCAGGGCCTCTGTGTCACTGAGGATGGCTGTGGTGCCTGCAGGACATCCCTGGCCTTTGTTGTGACTGTCACTTCCCGGTTCCAGCACAGAACCCTCATCCCACCAGCACAGCTCCTTCACCCCACTGGCATGGATTTTCTGGCTCCACTGCTAACCTTTTGGCCTTCCCAGTGCGGATCCATAAAAGAGACTGGTGTGAGTCCTTCTTGTGGGCTCTGGACCTCCAGTTGGTCTCATGGGAAGCACTGTCATGAGCTCTGAGTTTTTATCTGGACTCATGTGGGATGTTGCTGTAGGATTTAGGTCCCTTAGAATATTTAGGAACTAAATATTCCACGTCTTTGGTGTTGCAGACAGATTTCCTGCATTTTATTGTCTTAACTCCCAGTGACCCTTATAAAAATAATATTATAAACTCCATGTCCTGATTCTAATTGTTCTCTGCACAACCCCTAACTGCAACACATGGCTAGACTCATACATGCCAATACATGCTTCCACACAGATACATGCCCAGGTCCCAGGCATGGAGGGGTATGGCACACAGGACACCCGCTCACTGCCGGTGGGGTGCACAGCCATGTGTGCATTGCCTTGGGACCACAGTGGGGCAGCACTCACAAGACTGAAAGCAGTTTCACCACCTGACCCAGGCGCGTGCTCCTCGGTGTGTTCCCAATCCGTGGGAGACCGAAAGCCCTTCCCCGGAAATGCTCACAGCAGCTCTCTCTATGACTGTGGGCACTGGGAGAAACCAAAGTGTCCTTCAGCAGATGGACAGATAAGCACACTGCTCCATCAGCAATAAAGAGATCAGCCTCCTCAGCCCTCCGGCTGGGGGAAGAGGACAAGGGAGTGCAGAGGACTGGGGGGCGGGGAGGTGCTTCCGTGGGACCCTGCTTGGGGGTGCATGCTGCACCTTTATCCCATCCCACCTGTGTGAAGGAATGACCAAACACTGTTTCTGATTCCACTTCATTTCCTGTAAACCCCAAAATGCTTTCGCAAAAGTCCATACATGTAAATTTGAAGAGAAGCTGGAGAGCCGGACCCCTTTCCAATGGCCCTTGCAGTGGGCAGCCGGCCAAGCTCTGCCACAGTGGGCTACTTTTGTTTGTTTTCTGGTGCTATCATAAAACACTCGACTCTGGGTGATTAGCAAGGAGAGGATGGTTGTGAAGCTCACAGTTCTGGGGGCTCGAGAGCATGCAGCACAGAACCTCAGGGAGGGCGCCACGTGGGAGGGTCCCCCGTGGCAAGAGGGTGGGATGGCAGGCAGTAGGGACAGTGTGCAGAGGGTCAAAGCACGAGGGTCACCTGGCTTCACAACCATGACTGATCCGGTCCCCCAAGACCCAGCTCTCTGATCTGGAACCTCCTGGATCCTCCTGAGCAGACAAGAATATACTCACAAGGAAGCAGCTGGAGTATAAGGCTTCACCCCCGCCCAACACCACTGCGTCGGGAATCAAATTTCAACATGGTCGTAGGTGGGGACAAGCACATCCCAGCCATAGCACGGGTGGCTCTGGCCAGGGCCACAGAGAGCCAGGGTGACCCAGCAGATACTGCATTCTGGGGGTAGGGGTTTCCCAGGGACCAGGGCTCACACACATGTTCCCTCATGCATAACGCCCAGCCCTGTGCTACCACTGAGCCGGTCCCTCATCACTACTGTCTCTGCCTAGGAGGAAGCGAACCACAGACTCCGTTCCTGCCTGCCCCGGCCAAGCCCTACTCAGCCCTGCTGGGGTTGGCGGGGTTTCCTCAGGGTCTCATTCCCAGGGACATTGTGGCAGATGAGCTGCACAGGGTGCCATGGTAGGGTTCCCGCATGCCAGGCAGGTGCCTCTTACACAGAGGGACAACCAGGAAAGCATGAGTGACACAGGCAGCCTGCAGGACAGGACCCTCTTTGCTTCTCTGGGTGCACAGGATGGTGGACCTGCCCAGACCTGGACCTGATGGCCAGGAAACAATATGTCAGTGGGACAGAGGGACCCAGGCAGCCGGACAGTCAGCATGCAGCCAGGACTCAGCGTGTGCCCACAGGTGGCCACCGTCTACAAAGGACATGGGATATCAGTTGCTCATCTGTGCACTTTAATGAACTGGTTCATATTCAGCTGCCTGTTCCCTGGCCATCCACTGGACATCTGCTGGGAGCCAAGTGCCTTTGGGATGAACTCACAACTTCCGAGTCGAGCTACGACGTAGCCCCATAACAGGCACCAGACCCCCTAAGTTTACAGGTGGTGGTAGAGGTCACCCTGACCTCTGTCCTCAGCAGGCTTTTGGAAGACCTCTTGGTTATCAGGGCAGGCCAAGGGTCCTCATCCCCTGCAGAGGATCACTTCTGCCCAGCATGCCTCACAGTGCCCAGTGACACACTCACTGTGGCCAGCACAGCAAGAGTTTGCTGCGCAATGCAATCTGCACAGCTGCTGGCAACGCCCAGCCCTGACCTGTCATCTGGAGAAGAAAAGAGTCCCCGGGCATTTCATAGTCGTATTAACAATGCCTCACTTGGAAGTGAATGCAGTCTGACAGCAGCCAAGCCAATGAGCCTGGTCAACCTGTCCTGCCAGCCATAGAGTCACCTGTCATTCCCGCGACCCTAGGGAGACAAGTTCGCCAGCAGGAGACACCTGGACAGGGTGCGGACTGGGCTGGAGGGGCGGACAGCAGCCTTCCACATCAGAGGAGCTCATGCAATGTTAATGCCGTCCTGTGGCTGGCTGGAAAGCATCCTTTCAAGTGGAGGCCAGGAGGCAAGGAAGGCCAGGAAGCAATTGTGCCTGTCGGGCAGACTCCCAGACTCTGGGTTGCTAGTTCTCTAAAATCTGCCTCAGGTGAGCGGCCCCCACCCCCTGTAGCCCAAGTTTCTGCCCTTCAGGCATCTCCCAGCCCAGCCTGCTCAAACCCTGCTTCCTTCCCCATGGCCCAGCTGGAGGCTGTCCCAGCCCTGCCCCTCCAGGGCTCTTCCTGCCAATGTCAAGGTCAAGGTCAAGGTCACCATCACCTGCAGCTTCCAGCCAGAGCTTCCCCGTGGGATGGCTTGGCTGCAGTGCCCTCAGGAAGGGCCCCTTCACACCTCCAGGTCCCTCCAAGTTGCTTTTTGGAAGTAATTTCCATGTAATGAGAACACAGGAAAACCTCATTATTTCAGACACCGCTAATTAGGGGTTTGTGATCAGCCTGCCTGGCCAGCTGAAGTTGACATTTGGTTCTCTGCAGACACTGCAAATTAAGAGCGAGAGGAGAGATCATCAGGACCTTTAAAAAGCCAGCAGCTCCCAGTCTGTGGCCAGTGGCTCTCACATACGCTGCTTTCCCAGTGCACTAATTAGGAGTCTCTTCTTCAGGGGAGCTGCCCAGGGGGCGTCCAGGTGGGGCTCGAAGGGGCTCCACCCTGAGAGGCCCCAGGACAGCCCTGGGAGGGCCCCATAGCTAGCCCCTAGTTGTAGTTAAGGTATATCAAGTATAGATTAGGACACATGGGTTATAGGATTATTTTGTAATATTCACTTAAAAGTCAAAAGAAGAGTGCAGGAGATCACTTCCTAGAGATCCAAAGAATCCAGTGAGGACCTGGATCCCATGGCACTGTCCTGCACAAGTCCAGCTCGAGGCCTAGAGCCCATGACAATGTCTCCCACAAGTCTGTATCAAAGATCTGCGCTGGGAAGGCCCGAAGGTCAGCGGTGGAAGCTGGAAAGTCTGCTCCAGCGGGGTGAAGGAGCTGTGCCAGAGACTGAGGGAGCTGCACGGAAGCTAGGAATCGGTGCTCAAGATCGGGACCAGGGCTCCCATGAAGGGAACCTCAGCCACCCTCAGTGACAGCGAGGTCCCGAGCTCCTCCAAAGAACAGCTGAGTTCATGTCAGAAAGCCAGCGGGACAGGCTTCTCCAGGAGAATCAACAGCACCACCTTCCCCTCCGGTTCTGTTTTTAGGCTTGGCAATTGTTGGCAACGATCCTCAGGTGGGCTCCACACCCAGCACCCAGCCGACTCAGTTCAGTTGGGCATTACGCATTGCCCGTTAGTTAATCCACCACGTCCCTTTTATGGAAGAGGACCCCAGGCCCTAGAGCCTGAGGGCTCTTCCTGGGTCACAGTGGGGACACCTCAGAAATGTGACCTAGGCCCTCCAGAACCCCCCAGAGACAGTGGGTGGTGAAGAGGGGCTGTCTGCAGGGTCTAGAGCCCAAGAGAGCAGTTCCCACCTCTTTCTCAGGAGAAAGGAGAAATGAACTGCCTGGATCAGACTCTGCCCAAATCTGGGGGCCCTCAAAGGACAGGACCAAGGAGCCCTTCTCCTTATTGTGAGGTCCACAGAGGTCTCAGAGGCCCATGGGGGCATGAGAGACAAAGGCCCAGAGATCCTGGCGCCAGGGCAGATGTCCTGTACCAAAGCAAGGAAGGAAGGCTGGGTGAGGACCAAAGAAAGCAGACAGGTCCCAGGAGCTGGGAGGTGCTGGAAGGAAAGCCAGGGCCAGGGCTGCACTACAGGGCTCCGCCCACATGGAGGCCCCACCCTCCAGGGCTCCACCTCTTCCCAAGGCCCCGCCCCAGCCCTGCCCCGTTCTGTCCTCTGGGGCTATGTATCTGGCCAGGCCCCACACTGTTCCCCTCCTTCCCATGAGTCACCACTGACTCCAAGCTTGGGCACCATAGATGAACATTCCAGGCGTCACAGTGGTGGGTCTCAGGCCAGGAGCAGACCAAGGGGCTTGTAGCTGTCTGTACTCCTACAGGGTACTCCGCTGTGCACACCCTGAGATGCCTGCCTGCTTGGCACAAGGAGGATCTCTTGCTCCCCACTCTGCCTCTGTCTCCCTTCTCCCTCCTCATCACCCTTCTCAGAACCCAGAAGCACCACTGGGTCTCTGCCCACCCCTGCCTGGTGCCCACAGCCCTTAGGAAGCACATGCTGGGGCCTCTGCCACCTTGGATCAAATTGGGCAGCCCCTGGCTCGGACTCATCCCCTACCCTGATAAAGAACCTACAGCCCGAAGATGCCCCACCCCTTCCTAAGTATTGGAGATGCTGGGACTGGTCTTCCTCCACCAGACATAGGGGCCGGGGACATGGAGGACAGCAGTGGTCTTTGCACCACTGTCTGCACTGGGAAGGTCATGGTTGACAGGGTCACTGAGCACAGGAATAAGGCCTCGCTGTCCTCATGAGCACCCCTAGGTCCTGCAGATGCATCCTCCAAGCTCCAACCCATGCCCACATCTCCTGCACTCACAGGCCTCCCCACAGACCCCCAAGCTGACAACGCTGTACTGGCATCCTGCAGGGGTGAAGGGAAAAAGGGAGACCGGAAGGGGGGAACTGAGGAGGGGAGAGGGGAGACGGGAGCTAGAGGGACTGGAGGAAAGGTAAACCAGCAGCACCTGGAGATAAGAGCAGCATCACTCCAGCCTCACCCGCCTGTTCTCTAGGTCACTCACACCTGTCTGCACGGAAAGACAGGACTGAAGAACACCGTGTCCTCACAGCCACTGGCATCCAAGGACAGCAGAATCCTCCTGCCTGGGAACCTTCAGCTCTTTGCTGCCTCCATTTTTCCCATTTCAGTAATTCTTGCAGCCCATGTTGTGTAAATAAAATTATTCTTCCCAAAAAACCATTAGCAGCGCCCGACATTAATTCCCCTGCAATATGTGTAATTAGCTGCATGCAGCACAGGGCATCAGAGGATCCGTTCGCTAATCGCCACTCCTCCGCTCCCGCACCTAATTAAATCTTCTTCCTGTTTATCCACTTACAAGAGCCTCGGCAAAGACGTGCGCTGCTGGAAAGCCGCTGCCATAAATCATCTTTTAGTGATTTTTTTGGCTGCATCTCCACATAGTGCGAGTGCATTTCCTTCCCCCTGCCCAGGTCCCCACCCCTGCAGGCCAGCTCGCCCTGGCTCCTCGGCACACACCCTGCACTCCGGCACATGGGTGCAGGAGGAGGCCGGAGCCCACCACAAGCAGCCCAGGCCCTGGATCATCCTTCCGGTGGAAGCCGCTCCTATTCTGGTCTTCTAGTCTTGGCACCAGGGCCTGGGGTCACATGGGGCTGCCAAGGCTGCAGGGAGGGGTTTTCCCTCTGCGCCCAGGGCCACCAGCAGTGTTTGGGCATCCGGTCCTTGCCATCTGCCAGTGTGGCATGAGTCTGCTTCACAGCCAGCCCGTAAGTCAAGTCACCCCCAGGGGTGAGCAGGCTTAGGACAGGGTGGTCTCAGCACACTGGCACAGCACAGAGATAGGTGAGCAGGCCAGGCGGGGACGAGGTGTGACATGGGCAGGCACGGGCATCACTTGGGTGTCAGAGGGGGATGATGAGTACACTGCTTTCACAGAGACCTGGAGCCACAGTGGATTGCATGGCCTGTGAACGAGGCCTCCACAGGGCAAAGCTAAAAATTCCGAGTCCAGAGCCACAGAGCTGACCCTGAAGCTCCAAGTGGGTCCTTGAATTCCAGGTTCCTTCTCCCTCACTGTAGTTAGGGCCAGCGGCCAGTGGCACAGTGACAGACTCGGGGGATGGACAGCAGGGCTGGCTCAGGAGGAACGCAGGTCCCTGGTGTGGGGCCCACTGCCCTTCTGAGACAGCTGACCCAGCTCCCCCTTCAAGTGTCCCCAAGTGACTCCTTATCAAGGGGCAGAGGGAGTGTCAACAGCAGAAACAAGGCTATGAAGGTGGGGCGGAGACTGGGGGTCTCTTGGACCTGAGCTGGAGGGCACAGGAAGGACAGGACTGGATCCCCTGCACTGCCCCACCTTGAATTTGCACTTGTGGCTGCAGGGATTCGTGAGCATTACTCCTGTTGGAGCCGTGGTAATTGACTGCGACCACCCCAAGAATCAGGCTCTGTGCCAGGCTGAGGCCCCAAGCACCCCAGGCATGTTAAGTTTGGGGAGCTTCAAGTCCTGAAGATTGACAGGAGCCCGGGGGTGAACGCAGCACCCACAGATCCTGAGATGCTGAATTTGCTGGCTGCATGCCCCTTGGACCGCATGGATTATTTTATTTTATTTATTTTACAGTACCGGGCATTGAACCCAAGGCCCTCTTGCTGAACCACACCCCAACTCCTTTTCATTGTTTATTTTAAGCCAGCCCAGCACTCAGGAGGCTGAGGCAGGATTACCATGAGTTTGAGACCAGCCTGGGCTACAAAGTGAGCTCCAGGCCAGCCTGAACTGTATAGTGAGACCCTGAAGACAAAAAATAAATGAATAAATGAAAAGACCTGTTTATTTGAGACAGGGTCTCACTAAGTTGCCCAGACTGAGCTTGACCTTGAGATCTTCCTGCCTTAGCATTTCAGAGTGCTGGGATTATCCTGACCCACCTTCACACTATATCCCTGGGTGCCAGCCCATCACCCAGGTGGGGAAACTGAGGCAGAAATCAAGTAACTTGATCCAAACCTCATGACTAGCGAGTTACCTGAGTGAGATTTGAACAAACAGAATCCAGTCACAGAACCACCGGACCAGACCAGCCCCTTCCCAGGGCCCTTTTCACACAGCCAGGAGCTCGATGACCACACAGGATGTGGCAGCGTACTGCCACTGGACCGTACAATCTTGCTAGGAGCAGAAATCCCGAGGATGCACAGTACCTGTTGTGTGTTGTTGTCCCTCTGTGAGGTCCAGGTGGGCAGCAGGGAGGCTTCCCAGGGCGGCAGCAGCATCCAAGCCACCAGCTGGCCGTGGCTGTGTCTGGAGCAAAGGTACTTGTGGTCTGAGCAGGGACTCTCATCCTGGGTCTCCCCACCCTGCTGCCTTTGGCTGTCTCTGGTCCAAGCCCAGAGGCCAGGAGGGCTTGCCTGCCCCTGCCATGTGGAGTCAGCGCCCCCAAGTCAGGTCCTCAGGCAGAGGCGGGCATCCCCGCCCCTACTCTGTGGGGAACCCAGGAAGAAGAATGGGTAAAAGGTGCTGGGCTGCACACCACCCTGGGAGGGCCCTCAGCTTGTTCCCACCACCCTAAATCCCATCTTCTCCCCACTAAGTTCCCCTTCCCCATGTACCTGCTGGGCCCACCAACATGGGACCCACACCTTGGTCAGCCCAGGACAGCTCAGATCCCAGAGTGAGGGCCAGGGCGCAGCCTAGGGGTCACAGCTGCTTCCCTGTCCTGCCTGGGGCTGGGGGCACCCAGCACCATGGCCGCAGTCGCCCTCCATAGCCCGTTTTCCTCCAGGCCCCCTGCCAAGCCACCTCCTCCTGTTAACACCTCCATTAGCCCCGTGCAGCAAATCTGTCATGACAGGCCCCCTCCTGGCTCGTATTTTTTACTTTTAATTATGATCAGATGTGGACTATTGAGTAGTTTGATGCATTTTAGATGTCTACAGAGGTTTCTTTTTAATAATGCAATTGCGAGGCTCTAATGGCCCATCACTGGGGTCATTACTGAACTGTGTATTCAGCACTGTCTCCAAAGCTGGACGCTTCTCCCCAAGAGGGGTGCTGGGGGCTTGGCAGCGCCGGTGAGCGATGACAGCCTCGAGGCTTTCTCAGGCCCAGGGTGAGTGCTTTCCTTCTGCTCGCCAGCAGAGGCTCAGGTGGGGTCTACCAGGTGTAGTCATCGGCCCCAGGGGTGAGCTCAGGGATGTCCTGCACCTGGACAGCCAATGGCCTGCAGAGGAGCTTCTTCTCTCCAGTACTTAAGCCCCCAACACCTCGTCCCCTCCAAATCTGCTCCCAAGGCCCCCCTGTTAACACTGCACAGAGAGGAGTAAATTTCAACACAGATGCCACGCCCAGGTCATGGTCCTCTCTCTGAGGGGCAGCAGGTGGACAGTGAGTGTGGACCTCCACAGGCCTTGACCGGGTCGCAGTCACCATGGCCCTGTGCCTCCTGCCACAGTGCCTCAAGGTATGGGAGGAACTGAACCCGCATGTCAGTCCCTGGAAAGTGGGGTACATGATCCAGTCCCAGCGACAGAACTCAGACAACCCTGAGTGTAGGTGCAACCAGATCTGGGCAAGTGAGGGTAGGAGGAAGCCTTGACATCATGGCAATGGTGGATAAGCACCCCCTGTGACCCGACCATAGCCACGGCCTCCCCCATCTTCCCTCCTGAACTCACTGGGCTCTGGCTCCCAGGTCACCATCTGTACCTGTCCCCACCCCCATCCAGGCATCCATGGCCTCCTCCTGGCCACAGTCACCCACGTCAAGAGAACTCGCCTGCCCCTGCTATGTGTCAGGTACTGGCTGTCCAAGGTGGACATATTCTGGACGGGAATGCCGGGAGCAAATGAACCCCAGAACTGCTGACCGTGGAGTCACCCCTGTGGGGTTCATTCATGGGGTCCAACACTCAGTACCTCTGTCTGTCCCTGATCACCATCCTTGCTGGGGGGCAGGTGAGTCCTGTCACTGGCCAACCTCAGGCAGGAAGAACCGAAGAGCTTAAAGGTAATTCCCTTTATTCCCATTAAGCACACCAGTGCCAATATTGATTGAAAGCCCATTCACCAGGTCAGGGAGGAGGGGCTCCAAGGCCAGGACAGGGTCTGCTCTCTGGGACCAGCCGCGGGGACCAGTGGGGGGCACTGGAGGGTCAGGGCCTGGCCTCTCTGCTTCCCTTGGAGCCAGAGCTTCTCCATATTGTGCTGATGCTCAAGCCGGTGGTGCCTCCCCGTGACCTTGGGCCTCCTCAGCCTAGCCTGTACCTGCTTCAGGTCTGATGCGTGGCTTTTTCCTTGTGATGTCTGCTGGGTTCTCCAAAGAGTGGCCTCTCTCTGCTGACCCTCGAGGCTCCCTTCACAGGACCCGTGCAGCCCCTTCCGTCCCCCAACACACGAGGACCCCTTTCCCACTCCCTAGTCATAGCTGGCGGGAAGTCTGGCTCCAGATAGCTCTGCAGAGTGAGAGACTCCTCCAGGGAAAGACCAGTTGGAGTGGCCAGGTGACCCCAGAAGAGGGACAATGGTAGGTGTCTGCCTTGAGGAGGCCACAGGTAAAAAGTGCCAGCTGTGGGTCTCCCACATCCACGCTGCCTGGCTCCATTTTGCTGCTATAACCCATACCCAGACTGGTCATTTCCAGAGGACACAAGCGTACTTCTCTCGGCTCCAGGGTCCCCAGCTTTGCCTTCTGCTGCAGGCTGTCCCCAACACCCCGACGCTGAGGTGGAATTCTGAGGACTCAGACACGAGCAGCCCAGGGAATCTGTCACACCCCGGGGACCAGGGCTGGAGGGCAAGGTACCAGTCCCAGAAGCCTTTCTGCTTCTTCTCCTCCTCCCTGATGGCTAGAGGCAGAGGGGCCACCAGGGGGAATTTAGAGAACAATCTGGCCATCCATGTCCACCCAACTAAAGGCTAGCCCAGGAAGGACATGGAGGTGTCATAGCTTGGGGTCAGCCCAGCCATTGCTAATATCATCAGGGACAGGGAACATCGTGGGCTGCCCCAGAGGCCATCCTGGCAGGGCCAGAAGTCTCAGAGGAAAGGGCAGGAGGGAACCAAGCACACACAGGGGCACTGCACACACAGGGTAAGTGCCCTACCCCTGGGCCGTACCCTGGCCAAGCTCTTGCACTGAGCCCATTACGCACCTGCGTCAACGGAGGGGTGAAGGCTGCATGAAACACGGTCCATCTGCGCCATGTATTATTAACGCGTCTTAAAAGAAGAGAACTCTTACACCCCAGGACCGCGGATTCCCCTTGAGGGCAGTGTGCTGAGTGCAATAAGCGGGTAAGAAAAAGGCAAAGCAATCCCGCGTACACCAGGTTCCTGGAGAGGCCAAATCAGGGAGACAGAAAGGAGTGCAGCAGGCCAGGGGCTGGGGCTCGGGGTACCGGGAACCTCAGTTCTTGAGGTCAGAGCTGGGGCCTTGGCTGCACGGTGGCAAGTGTGTGCCGTGTGCCCTGGCTGTGCACTTGGACCGGCGGGGATGCGGGTCTGTGTCGGGTGGGTTTACTACGGTAACACGTGTTTCTTTTTTATCAAAAACCTGCTGGCAGAGCCGGAGCTGAACAAGGGTGGTGCTGACGGCTGGCCGCGAGGACGCCTTCCCACGCCTGCCACCGAGTTTTCCACACAAACATACAGCGCGGAGTTGTAAACACCCAAAGGCACACTGGTCAGCTGTGGGTGGCTGCTGGGGACACATAGTGGCCAGGGCATCCAGGAGACTCAGACAGCTACCCCCCCCACACACACACACAGCCCACGGGTCCAGAGCCAGGATCCGTTCTGCCTTGAGCCAACTAGTGTGTGACAAAGCACTTGGAGAACAAGCAAGACAGAAACTTCTGCTGTCAGCGAGGACAGTGAAAGGCAACGTGCAGGTCCCCGGTCTTCGGCCACCACCCCCTCTTCCCGCACCACCACCCTGAGGCAGAGCAGGACCAGCAAATCCCTCCTGGATGTGTAGACCAGTGGGCCTCTCGGGCCATCAATAAATGATGAGCGGTTGCCACAGCAACAGCCCCAACCCATATTTTATCTCCCGGTAAGCAGGGCGAGCTCCAGCCATACTGCGAAAAGCCAGGCTGGACGGGAAGGGGCAGCGGCCACAGGCCACAGGACATCGGAGCTCAGAGCACAGGGCCACGTGACCCAGGTGAGATGGGGTTTATGGGGAACAGAGGGGTGGGTTTGGGATGAGACCGGGGAGCAGCACAGTTCAGGAGGAGAGAAAGTAACTGAACCCAACTCTGGGCTTCAGCAAGGTGAGTTCTACCATCCAGGACATGGGGTTGCCCTCCCCAAACCCAGTCTCCGCCTCCGTGAGATGGAGGCAGAAATTGTACCTGTTCTCTCTCAGGCTGGCACAAACCCGGAATGAAGAGGGTATATAAAGTCCCGGGCACACACGAGCATTCACTATATGCTAACATGGTTTTGTTTGTAAAGAGATTTACACCTCTGACAGATGATGAGGAAAACACTTTGCACCTGTGTGTGTCTGTGTGTGTGTCTGTGTGTGTGACTGTGTGTGTCTGTGTGTGTGTACCTCTGCCCCCTATCACCACCCCTGGTGGTCTCATCCTTCAGGCGCTCCTTCCTCCCTCCTGAAAGGTGGCCTTCAGCTCTCCTCACAGTGACCATCCTGTGCCTGTGGGTCTTCATGTTGCCCATTTCTGAAAGATTCCCCTCACCAGTACAGACTCCCACACTGCAGCTGTCCCTGGAAGCCTACTCTGGTCTCCTGGGTGTGATGTGCCTTTTTGTGTTTTTTCTTGGCAGAGTTTCTCTTCACTGCCAGTGTTATAGTTACAGGTTGTGCAGAGAACAATTAGAATCAGGACATGGAGTTTATAATATTATTTTTATAATGGTCACTGAGAGTTAACACAATAAAATGTAGGAAATGTTATCTGCAACACCAAAGACATAGAATATTTAGTCAAGGGCCTAAATCCCACAGCAATGTCCCATATGAGTCCTGATGAAAACCCAGAGCTCATGACAATGCCTCCCACAAGTCCAGCTGGAGGTCCCAAAGCCCACAGGAAGGACTCACACCAGTCTCTTTTATAGATCCATGCTGGGAAGGCCCAAAGGTCAGTGGTGGAAACCAGAAAGTCCATGCCAGCGGAGTGACGGAGTTGTGCTAGTGGGATGAGGGTTCTACGCTGGAGCCAGGAAGTGACACTCACAACAAAGACCAGGGCTGTCCTGAAAGGCACCACAGCCATCCTCAGTGACACAGAGGCCCCGAGCTCCTTCGACAACAAGCACAGTCGGGTACATGCCAGGAAGCCAGCATGATGAGTTCATCCTGGAGACCAAGCAGCACATGTCTTCCCCTCCGGAGCCAAGAAGCAATGCTTGATGTGAGGACCAAAGCTTCTCCACGAGAACCAATAGCTCAAACAGCAACTCGTAGGAGAACCCACAACACCTCAACACAATAACGCATTAACACCTCCCTTCTTTTCCACCGATTTAGCCCGGCAGCTTTCCTCAAGTGGAGCATCTTCACTCAATGCCATGCTGATGTAATCCAGCTGGCGTTAAATTGACCACCAGTTCTTAATCCATAACAGCCAGTCTGAGTGCAGGATGCTTCCTGCAGTCCCCTTTCTGCAGCTTGTGCTTGGGGTTTGTCAAGTTTCCCGGAGCCAGCAGTCTGACACTTGTGCCAGCTATAATTTCTGCAGGTAGGGGGCTGTCCTCCTCCCTCTGTCCTCCGCTCTGGCTGAGCACTGGCTCTCCCAGGGCCCCTGGATGCACTTATGTGTTTAGAGGTCTCTCCCTCGGGGTCTCACTTTGGAGGTCTGCGATCACCCCATCTTCGAGTTCTTCAATCCATGTTTCTGCAATGTGCAGCCACACCCAGCAGAACCTTGCTCTCAGTAGGTGCAGCCCGAATCTCCAGGGCCTTGGCTTGGTCTCTGTACTTCTAGCCTGAAGCTCTGGTCCTTCCCTTCGCTTTCCAGAAGTTTGGGGTGCGGTCCTAACAGCTGTTTTAATAAGCACAACATCCGCAGGAGTTCCCGGTTGGTTTCAGCTGATGGTTGTTTTTCTCCTTATGAGGCTGCTTTTCCCGCTTTTTTAAAAATCTTTTACAGAATGCCTGACATTGTGAAGCTCACCATGATTGGACGCTGAATTTTCTGTGTTCCTGTAAATGTACTTGAACTTGGTTTGAGGATGAATTTATATGAAAATGGTCTCACTTCTAGGCTTTATTATTTGTGACCAGAAATAGGCTTAATGGTTCCTCAGAGCAGAGCAGAGCCCAGGAAGCACAGGTCTCTGGTCTGGCTGGTGCAGATCCCTTCACGGCTGTTCAGTCCTCACACTGGGGCAGTAACGGGGGGGGGGGTCCCTGCTGGGCTCCCATGGCCCCTTGAGCAGCTGTCTGTCCGGAACTGCCCAGTGGGTCCTGTCCCCAGGCCCATCTCCTCCGCTCAGGGTGTCTGCCAGCCCCTTCCCTGGTGGTTCCTCTCCACATGCCACAGTCTGGAATGCCCCCCAAGGCAGTGAGCTGGAGCAAGTGGGGCTCACCTCTTGGGGGTCCTTGCCCTTCACTGCCCGATGACCAATGTGTTAGAAACCATGCTCAATGTCTTATGTCCAGGTTGGGGAGGGGGAAATCACTGAAGCTTTAGGCAGATTCCTCCTGGAACCCCAAGTGTCCCTAAATCCAGTGTCCTGGGGACCCATGCAGGGTCACCAGGTATCCACATCCGTCTGTAACGTCAAGCCAGTAGCAATCCTGTCCTCATCATCTGTATTTGAAGGGAAGATGAAGGTGGTCTGCTTTGGGAGGTCCCACACCCACAGGGTCCTGAGGGCTGCATCACCGTGATTTCGGCCTCAGCCTCTCTCTCATAGAGGAAGCCTGGTCCCTGCTTCCCGGTGCCCTCCAGAGGGTAGACAGGCAGCCAGCTCCTTCACCCAATGGACCTCAGCTCCAAGACAACCAGGGGAGGTGCTCCAGGCTGGGAGCTCCCAGAAGCAGGGAGCTCCCTGGGAGATGGGGTCACCCTGTGCCCCGGTGGCCCTGCAGGTCAGGGGCCAGGAGGGGAACCCCAGGGGGAAGGAGAGAAAGACTGTTCAACCAGGGCTCACTGTCAGGGCCCATCATTGCATGGACTGCTGCTGGACAGCAGAGTGGACAGCCCACTGACACTGGCCAGACCCACGCTGGCCAGGTGTGCAGCACCAGGGCATTGCAATGGCTACTTCCGGACAGAAGACCTGGCCTCCCCATCCCAGTTCTGGCTCCCTACTGTCCTTGGCATCCACGAGCCCCAGGAGAGCTGTGCCAAGCCAGCCTCCCCTCTGTGGCCAACGGGTCTCCTTAATAAAAGATTTACTGCCAGTCCATGAAATGTTTAAACACCATATTTTACCAGTAAAAAGTGAGGCAGAAGCCAGCACCCTCCAAGAAAGGATTTTTCCAGGCACTTTACAGATCAAAGCACTGGAATAAAATAAATATGACCAGTGATGGCTGTGAGAGCAAGTTTGGTCCAGGAAAGCGCTCGCAGGGAGCAGGGAGGGCTGCAGGGCCACGCGCACTGCCCATTGCCTGCAGAGAGAACCCGTGGGCGTCTCCTCCCCCACCACTGTTTAGACCGCAACCTGGTATCCCAGGAGCCCTGAGGGTATCGGTCAGGGCCCGAGGCTCAGTGGAGACAGGAACAGAGCTGGAAGAAACCAAGCCTGCCATGGGTCTCATCACACACTGACTACAAAATCCAGGTGCTATGGCCCTCCTCCCAGAAAAGGCCTCAGCAACGTGCTAAAGACAGACGACTCCCCCTGAATGTCACCCATCCCTGGCAGGGCAGCTGTAGGTTCTGCTGACTCTTTGTCAAAACTTCCAAAGAGAGAGATGACATTCTCCTCTACAGCAACCTGCATGCACCTAGCTGCCCTGGCCCCAGAGAAGGAGGACCTGTGCTGTCCCTTCCACCCCAGTCCTGGCACCCCAGCCCCGGGTGAACTGTCCCATGCTGCACCTTTCTCCGTGGGGCAGGGAGGGGTGAGGAGGAGGGCAGAACAGAGGGAGAAGGGCCCATGAGAGCCACAGTGGCCAAAGGACAAGGACCGAGCCTGGGAGCAGCCTGGATGCTGAATGTGTCCCAGGCCACACATCCCCATGGGCCACATCCCACCCACATGTCCTCTAGGGACCTCAGGGTTGAGGCTGGAGACTGATGATTGACCTGCCAGACACCCAACTCAGGGTGCAGCATACCTATAAGCACCTGACCTGGCACCCGGCCCAGGGGACTGGAGAGGAGTCCCTGGAGGGGGATGCAGGTGGGGATGGGATGGGAGGGGTCTTTCTTCTTTGTATTTGACCCTGTGGGTGACCATTATAAAATGATTCCATAAGTGATGTGCTCTTTATTAAACTGTTTTCCTTGCAAATCCTGACAATACCCAGGAAGGTGGAGAGGCACTCGGCAGGATCCCTCTGCCTCCATAGGACACTTGGCAATGTCTGGAGACACCTGGACACCATGACTGGGTGTTACTGACACGGAGCAGTGGAGGCTTGGGGTGCTGCTGAACCTGCATGATGTCATGGTCTTTGGTGACAAAGGACCTCAGCCATGGCAGGGAAGCTGCCCCGCACCCAACAGTAACCAAGGCCGAGGAGCAGGGTGGGGTGGGATCCCCATGCCAGCCAGAAGAGGGGCCCCTTCAAGGGGCTGGGAGGGTCTGTCGGGACACAGACTTTAAGGACAGGTGCTCACAGGAAGCTCCAGTAAGGGAAGGAGTGGGCAAGAGGTGGGGTCTTCACCGCTACTGCCCTTCACCCAGCAGCCCCACCCACAGCCAGCCTGGAGTGGGAGGGCAGAGGGTGCCACTGCAGACCGCTGCAGCCCTGTGCCCACTTCATCGAACTCAGCGTCACCGCCCAGGACATCTCAGGAACCGAGCACAGCACCTTGTAAACAGGGCACTGGGGCCCCAGGGGGCTCTCAGGCAGTTCTCCTCCCACAGGACAGGAGCATGCCGGCCCCTCACGGGGTGGGAGTCCAGGGCCCACATGTGCAGCTGGCGGCTGTGCCTGCGCCAGGCAGCCCACGGGCTCCGGCGTGCGGGGAAGGGGAGGGAAAGGAAGGAACAAGGCAGATGGCTGGTGGGCAGACGGGTGGCAGCACCCCCGCGCGGGCCGTTGCAGCAGACTTCTGCTGCTGCCTCCCCCGCACCGCATCGGGAGACGCCATGGAGAGAACTGGCTTAGCGCAGGACATGAGGCCTCCAGCACCTCAGCTGTGCTCGGTCCTCCTAGAGGACCCACTTCCTCCACCGGGCTCCACCCCATGGCTCCCTTCCCCTGGCTGCCCATGCCCCAGCCTTCCCCACATTGATGGACAAGGTCTTGGGAGGACCGACCCTGTATCCGGCTTTTCCCCTCTGAATCACTTCCTGCCACCTTCAGCTCTAGATGGCATACTTGAGTCCTTCAAGAAAAGTGTTCGGGTGAGGGATTCGGTGGATGGATGGATGGATGGATGGATGGACAGATGGGTGGGTGAATGGGTAGTGGATAAACGGGTGGATGGATAGGTGGATAGTAAGTGGATAGATGGATACATTGATGGATGGATGGATAGATGAGTGGGTAGATGGATGGGTGGGTAAATGGATAGTGGGTGTATGAGTGGATGGGTAGGTTGATGGGTGGGTGGATGGAGGGTGATGGGTGGGTAGACAGAGCATGCATGCATTGATGAATGCATGATGGATGGACAGAAGACTGAAGCAGGACCGAATGCACAGGCAGATGCATGCACAGGTAGGCCATGCTCAGCACATGAGTGGGGGGAGGGGTAATGCATGGTGGAGAAGAACAGGAAGTGGGCCAGGGGCAACGCTTGGGCCTGGATCTAGTGCTGGAAGCCGAGGATGGCACGCCCAGAGCAGCAGGGCTGTTTTTCAAGCAGAGCCAGGAGCCATGAGTGATTACACCTGTGTGTGCATCCCTGGAGCCCCCAAAGCTCTGTCTTCATCAAGGTGCTGACCAGGGGAATCCCATCAAAAATAGAAATCGAGGTTTGAGCAGCTTCCAGCCCTGGCATCACCGCCCTGCTGAAGAAGCATCTCCCAGTTGGTCTTGCCAGAGTCTTTAAGAAGGAAGAAACCCTAGAGCTCAGCATTGGTGATGATCCCTGGGACCCTCTGGAGGCCCTGTGCATCTCCTCCCTCCTGCAAGAATTCAAGAAAAATCAAAGATGTAGACACCAAATATTCTCTACAACACCCAGCACACGGCTGCCTGGAAGCCATGCTGGGCAGGCACCAGCCGCCCTGTCTCTCCTTCCCAGCACCCAGATAAAGGCTGTGCATGCCCCATCCTCACTCTCCCGTGGTCCCCACTCATTTCCACGCCACACAAGGCTGTTCGCCACATTGCCCTGCTTCGATTTCCAGATGGAGAAACTGAGGCTCAGTGAGGCAAGGCAACTGCCTTGGCGATGCACAGCCCAGGGGTATGGTGGAGGATGGGGTAGCAGAGCTGAACCCAAAGACCCACCAGAGGCAGCTGGATGAGGTCCCCACCACTGGCTGCACCCACTGGGATGCCCACCTGACAAAACAGATGGTCCAAGACTCGAACCCTGCATGCTCCAGGCACCCAGCAGGTTGCAGGGAGGCAGGGGACCCGAAGTCCATCCGCAGATGCCTGTGGTATTGAGCACATGGCTCCCCACCTTGCCGACACACAGCTTGGGAAGGGGGAGTAGCCATTTTGCAGGTGGGGGAGCCCAGCCCAGTGGGGCACCTGCATGAGGCAGCGTGAGGCCCAGGCGAGCACCCGGAGGACTGGGACTGGGGCACCAGTACCCCAGGGCTCAGCAGGGACCCAGTGCCTGTCTCAGCACTGCAGGACCCTGTGCGCACAGGGCCCCACCCTCATCTTCCCTAAAGGACGACTGGAACCCCAAGGGTGGGAAATCCTGCAGCTCGGATCACTCTGGGGACTCTGAGCCCAGGACCAGGTGTTCAGAGGGACAGCCCAGACTTTCATCACGACAAAGCAGATCGAGGGCCGCTTTAGAAAGAGGGCGGTGGATCTGAGGCAGCTGAGGAGCCCTTTGCTCAGTGACCCAGTTTCTCGGGGATGGGGGTAGGATTTCGTGTCAACTTAGAACAAATTAAATGCATTTGTCTTCCATTCGGAAGGCGTCCAGCCCAGCGGGGAAGCCAGGCACG